CCTAATTTTAACCATTCTGACAGGAGTAAGATGGTGTCTCAGAGTTGTTTTGATTTGCATTTCCCTGATAGCTAAGGATGTTGAGCACTTTCTTAAGTGTCTTTCAGCCTTTTTGATTTCCTCTATTGAGAATTCTCTCTTCAGTTCTGTACCCCATTTTTTAATAGGGTTATTTGGTGTTTTGGTGACTAGTTTCTTGAATTCTTTATATATTTTGGAGATCAGCCCTCTGTCAGATGTAGGATTGGTGAAGATCTTTTCCCAGTCTTTAGGCTGCTGTTTGGTCTTGTCAACTGTATCCTTTGCCTTACAGAAGCCTCTCATTTTCAGGAGATCCCATTTATTAATTATCAATCTCAGTGTCTGTGCTACTGGAGTTATGTTCAGAAAGCAGTCTTCTGTACCAATTTGTTCAAGGTGAATTACAAGTTTTATATGCTGTTTTATATGCAAGAAATTGAAGAGGGTTTAGCATAGCAGCATTCTGTGTATCTCTGTATTAAGATCATTATGTTTATGATAATGGTTCCTTATTTTTAAAAAAATGTACTTCACTTTTAATTATGTGTGTGTGCTCCTGGATGCCAAAGGAGTATCCTGCAGCAAAAGTTGTGAACTGTCCAATATGGATGTTGTAAGTTGAACTCAGGTCTTTGGGTCTCCTCTTTTTCAAGAGGCATATGGTTCTTAACTACTAAGCCATCTCTCCAACTTCCAATACTTTTCTTTAATATAAATTAGAGATGATTCTGAATCACATTTGCCCTGATTTATCAGAACCTCTAGCAACATGTTATGAAATTCTTATACTTTATGATTTTGTTTATTGTATTTTATCACTAAAATATTTTATTGTTGTTTTGAGAATACCATACAGTGTGTAGGCATCACCTGCACCTCTCCTAAAGCCCTCTTGAATCCACCTTCACCTCTATACATGCAATTTTCTATTTTTCTATTATCTATCATCCATCTCCATCTCTCTATATGTTCCTCTCCTCTCTCTCTCTCTCTCTCTCTCTCTCTCTCTCTCAATCTCTCTCTCTCTCTCTCTCTCTCTCTCTCTCTTTGTGTTTTTTTTAGCATCATTAAGTCTATTTTGTGTTTCCCAATATTCTTGGGTATAAGACCTCCTCTGGTTTGTTGTTGACCTACCAGGGGTTTCATCATAAAAAAAATATTCCCTCTCCTAGAAGGTTGTAAGTTGTCAATAACTCCTGTTTGGGTCTTAATGCCCACTCACTCCATTAGTAAGGGGGTCTATCACTGTAATAAAAACACTGTCCAAAAATCAAGGTGGGCAGGAAAGAGTTTATTTCACCTTACCCTCTAAGGTGATACTTTATCACTGATAGAAATCAAGGCAGGGAAATGGAGGTAGGAACTGAATACAAGGTCATGGAGGAACATTCTTTAGTGGCTTCCTTCTCATGGTTTGTTCAGCCTGCTTTCTTTTATAACTCTTGACCACCTGCCCAGGGTTAACATGACCCAGATTGGACTGAGTCCTCACACATAAATTTTGAATAAAAAAAAGAATCCTGAAATATTTCTCTATAAGCCAGTCTTATAGCACTGTGATTTAATATGTACAAGCACCTATTGTTTGTAGAATATATATTTCTCTCCTTTTACATTTCCATCTTCTTCTCTGAAAAGATTGTTCAGTGTTAAAGTAAAAGGGTATTATATGAATGTCCCGTTTAAGGCTAAGTACTTTGTATATATTCTCTTTACTGATATTGTGACATGGCTATTACAAGAGTATCCAATGATGACTTTGAGATAGAATTTAAAGCCTGCTCTACAATATGAAACTCTTATAAGATTGTATTTTAATATAGCATTCATGTTTTAGCATGAAGAGAGTGATTGTTCAATACAACAGAGACAAGTAGATAGACTGATAGGTGGTGATAACATAAATAAATTGATATTGAATATATTAATGAAAAATAGGCAGATGACCGCTGATAGATTGAGAGATGATAGGTAGTAATGATGATAGATGGATAGATAGATGACAGATAGATAGATGATAGATAATTTAAGAGATTTAAACAGTCATCCATATTCTTCTATAGAAATTGTTTATTATATTCTCCACACGGAGTCTGTAAAATGCCCTGGCACGGTCAGCATAACCTCTTACAATTTGTTAAATACAAACTTTGTTATTCCCCATACTTATGTTTTAGGGAAAAGAAATGCCAGGAAGAACTTAATGTTGTGCTCAGTGAACAAAGACTCAAACCAGGAGAGGATAGTATCCTTGACATGAGTCTCTTTCAGGCCTGCTAAGTAAAGTAGGATGAAGACTGCACTGGCTGTACAGACTCACTCATGGCTCTGTCAAAGTCAGAGTCAGGAATGTCAAAAGAGCCAACAACTTAGAGAGTCCTAATAAAGGCAAGGCTTTAAATTCTGAAAAATGAAATACTATGGTTGGCAATATCATGAGTTCAAGGATAGCCATGTCTGCAGAATTAGAACCTGTCTCAAAGAGAGAGGGGGAAAAGTTAATCTCTGTGGTTAGTCTGAACAGAAACCCCAAAGTCTTTCACATAGTCATTAGGATGAAGGCAATTTAAAGAAACAAGACTAAGGAAGTTTCAGTCTGCCTGATGAAAGGAAAATGGAAACATCCAGAACACAGTGAAGAAAAACTGGTTTAAGTACTATGCTTAAAAATCTGTACCTTTGCATCAGACAGCACTTCTCTGTGGAGAAAGTATATGGTAACATGGGACTGGCAAGAATAGGATTTGAAATGAAATTAGTATTTGGTGACTCACAAGATCGCATGGTCAGTAAATAGAGCTGGAGTTTCCAAAAGCCACACACTCCCAAGATATTTGGTTCCAACCCAAGCTGATCTATTGGTAATTTACTTAATCCTAAAAATATAAATGAGATTTGCTAATGTGGTAGCTTCTCAAAGACTTGCTTTGCTTGCTGACCTGTGTAGTGATGGAAATTCTTCCAAGGAGGAAAAAGGGAAGCCTATCAATCTCTCTGCCCCTGGCAGACAATGAATAAGAGGCTATAGCCACACTCTCCAAGGAATGAAATTGATTATGAAGGAATAAATATCTTTTTTCCATACTACTAGTAACTGCATCTGAGTTCTGACATAATGAGATAGAATATAATATGAACACAGATTGCCATGGCTTTATTGTACATTGTCATATGCTCCTTGGGAAATTATGTCATTACCAAGCAGAAGAATATTACCTCCCAGACTTTCATATGTGGCTGTGAATATGTTAAATGATTTTCAATTATATTATAGTAATTACTTGGGTAAATCAAATAATTCAACCTCTGTTGGTTAAGATCAGTAGCACACTTCATACTCCCTTAGAAGAACTGTACCAATTTTCTATCCTGTTTAATTAATCTTTCCCAAACACTGTGTTCATTGATTATGTGATATCAATATTATTTGTCTAATTAGGATCTATAAGTAACAACTAGCAACTTTCTGAAAATTATAACATAAATCACTCTGGGAGAGAATACTACTTAAGAAAAGAAACATCCTGAAGAGACATGAGACACATACACTGTTCACAAGGTTGCTGGAGGCAGTGAATGGATATATATGGGTAAACATCCTTTCTAGAGTAAGTGGTGTATTGTCTCATATATCTCAAAGCTAAAAAAGTGTCACAAACTTGGAGAGCCAACAGCAAAATTTTAGCTAAGAATTGGAGTTACAGTAAAATTCTCCAACATTTGGAGAATATCAATCGTCTTGGCATGTGTTTTCTTTTCAAATTTCTCTCTTATCTCAAATTTATTATTTTATATCCAGATATTGCTTGTTATTGCTTTGGACATACTTTCTAAATTTGACTTTGACTGTGATATGGACCCAAATTTTTACAATATACACTGTTGTATAATTTTTCTTGAACGATGTGAACAAATGAGTTTTTATTGCAGGGAAGCAGTATAGAAAGTATTCAATCCAAATATATTGTGGTGAAAAAATGAGTTTACTGAACTAACAATATTTAAGAAAGGGAGTCTTAGTCTTCCTTGGGTATAAGTCCCCTTGATTAGTTATCTAACAAATGGACAGCTTTGAAATCATATACATGCGAACAACACCAAATAAACTACTTCTCCAGCACCATGTCTGCCTGCCTGCCCGCTTGTCCCATCATGGTGATAATGGATTGAACCTCTGAACCGTGAGCAAGCCACCCCAAATGAAAAGGTTTCATTCACAAGAGTTTCAGTGGCCATAGTGGCTCTTCACAGTACTAGAATCCCTAACTAACACAGGGGGAAATGATATAATTATGTTTTAATTTCAAAAAGAAAATATATCTAAATAATAAAAACAAATACAGAGGTATTGCCATCAGCAATTTCATTTGTGGGCACAAGAACTAAAATGGATTGTACTAAATATGTAAAAACTATATAGAAACTATACAGAAAAAGACAACATATTTACCTATGATAAATAGGTTCAAAGAATTCTTAATTTCCAAAATAAGTGATATAGGCAGGAAAGTTGGACTAAACCCAAAATTGTCTCTAAAGGGTTTCTAAATTGATAATATATTTGAAACCAATAGAAATGTACATCTGTTGTCTAATTCTACATGTCATTTTTCAGCATTTTCTCAACTATGAAATGATACTTGTTTAGATATAGTTACATGTTTTTGCCCTTTATATGGCTAATACACATGCATGCACACATTTTCCATACTATTCACTAATGACATTAAAGTCTGCAAAAGTCATTTTCATGATACAAGATTACACTGTATTGACACTAAAAGTTGTATTTGTATGTGTCCATGTCATTTCTTGGCAACATGCATCCTTTCATAGTGGACAGTGCCTGATTCACACAGAATTTTTAAAATTTAACAAAGCTGCAACTGAAGAATAAGCCGTAAGTACAAATGTAAACATACAAAATCTGTTAAGAACAGGTCCTCCTCTAGAAAATGTATGACAACTTCACACATAGTCTAAGGACCTGGAGGCTCTTCAGCATTGAGCTTGTACCTCACCCACTGCATCACGGACAGAAAAGCCTGTCTGAGCTTAGTGTTTCCCAGAATTAGGACAAAGGGGTGGCCTGAGGGAAAAGCAAGTGCTGTGTCCTCAAAGAACAAATTGAACAAATTTTTATGCTGAATCTCATTTTCACAAGACTCCATAACAAGTGCCAGAAAGAAAATAGTATATAGGAACAGGAAGAGGACCACCATTTGAAGGGCCTTTATGTGAGCTGTGGTGCTGGGATCTCTGGAGGCTTTGGAAGTTTGCTGCATGTTCTTCAGATGTCTCCACAGAGAGAAGATGAGCAGGAGAAAAGTTGTTAGGGACACAATGAAGGGTATGAATGTGAAAATAGTGTTGGTGAGTAAAGGAAACCTAGAAAAAGTTATATAGTAATTTGAATTAAAACTGTAGGATATATTTGCTTTCGATCCATCAATCCATATAACAATAAATGTGTTTATCACTATGATATTTACAAATAAGAAGAGAAGAGACACAAGCAGTGTCGCCAAAACAACTTTTCTTACTCTCCGCTTCAGAGAAAGAAATATAGAATTTGAGAAGTTGGCTATCTTGAGGAAGTAAAATATGCTGAGACATGTAGCAAGCCAGATGGTGAAATGATTGACTATTGTCCAGGAAAAATTAATTAATCTCAGCATTTTTCCAGTTATCACTAAAGATGGGTACAGCTCATATATCAAAAAAACTATGCCTAGTAACCACACAAAAACAAGTCTGGAGATGGCCAGAGCAGTGAAGATCTTATCCACTGATGAGATCTTTCTTCTCTTGTCCCAGTTCAAGATGTTCACCAGTATTATGAATCCATTTCCTAAACTTGCTGTAACGACTTCCACACCTAAAATGATTATTAGTATGTACTGTACAAAATCCTTCATTGTCACCAGAAAATGTTCCAAATTCTACTGTACTGCTAAAGTAGTAATGTGATCTTCTAAAAGGCAATGTATATATGATTCTTGAAAATCCAAAACATATCGTTATGAACATCCACACACAATGCCAATCAAACATCAAAACTCATTAATAACTTTGTTTATAATTTTCTTCACAAAAAATAATATATTGTCCAAGAAAGCTCAAACAAAATTTTCAGCTAAGTCTTACATACCTTACACACAACAGCCAGAAGTTCTCTGTTAAAGAAACAATGAATTTTCAGTATCATCAAAACAAAGATACTCTCATTTGCATACTTTTACATACCAAAATTTAGCTACTTAATTTCTCAGGAAACTAAAATTCAAGCTGGCAAAAAATAAGAATGACACTAAATACATTGAAATAAAATTTCTATATGGGGGCATATTCTGATTTCAAGGTTCTTCCCTTAAGTTATTAGTATTGCCTACTTATGTAATAGAGATAATTAACACCCATAAATACCTTGTCCTGAGAATAGTGATCATTTTTGTTCAACAAGGCCATACATGAAAATACAAATATACACTAATGCATAAATATAAAGTTAGACACACATCCCTTCATTTCTCACTTCATTAACTCCTACTTACTATTAATGAATATTTTCTACGCATCCAAATCATTCTGAGTTCTGTAGTAGCAGTTTAGACATTGTATAAATTGCTTTCAGGTATAATTGATGCAGCAAACATTCTGCAAACCTATATCTATTTTATCTATACATTGAAAAAAGCTTTAGAAATATTCTTGTGCTACACAGAACAGACAACAAGGTTATGTAAATCCATCTACGCCACAAGATTCACTCTCTGTAACTCTCCTTGTAGTACATCCCATTCCCCCCCATCAGTACCAAGGAGCTTCAAGTAGTATCCATTTTCCTTCATTTGACTCCAATATCTGCTTCATTACTATCACTGTAGGCATCTAGGCAGATGAGTGATGGTGCAATGTCTAGGCAAGCTGAAAATTGAAGCATAGCATGATAACATTCTTCAAATCTAAAAGATAGTCAAAGAAGCAATGACATAAACAAACCAAAGACAGGATAAGAATGTACATCAAACACTACACTTCTGTGGTACCACTGATAAATACTGCCTAGTACTTAAGAAGTTGACTCAAGAAGATCACCAGTCTGAAACCAGCCTGGAATAAATTATCAGAACCTGTCTTAAAACAATAACAACAACAACAACAAAAATCTATAGAGATTTCAGAGAAATACATAAAATGGTACCTGCTGAAGATGGACCACAAACTCAATCACCTGAAGAAACTCTGTACAGAAAGTGATATTTCTTATGATTGCCCAACATTTGAGGAACAGACATACTGTGAAAATGAACTAGCCTGACTATTTGAAATTTTAAGAGAGACTGTTAAGGATAAAAGCTTAAGCATACCATCACTGCAGAGACATGAAGGTCCTCTTGGCATGGCTCCTTCCTTATAACACGGAAAAGACAAAGAAATGCAAAACACCCTGCAGCGGGTGTGGAGTGTGTGCTGCTACTGGAATGGCAAGGTCTTTTAGAAAAGTGACAGGACTAGCATTCACTGGAGAGTAGCAATCACTCAGGGGAACTTCTCCAAACCACTCCCGGCTGCCTTCCACTCTGGCTGGGGAAGGGAGAAAGTTCCACCTGAACAGCAGTTTTTGGGAAAGACAGTGTTTCCAAACAAGGAGAGCAGCACCAACAACAGTTCCCACATCAGTCATCTTATAGAGCAAATAGATCGCCTCCTAAGAAGCATGAATGTCCTATAAATTTTACATTCACATCTGTGATGCTATATATTTACAAATCAGTGTACTTCAAGTTTTTGTTAGGTGCAAGTTTTATAGTCTCATTAAATGCGTGTAATAGAAAAGGGTTTGGCAAACCTAAATTCTCCCTGTGCACCCCTTTATTTATTTCACTGTTCTTAAAATCTACCTGTGAATCTCCAATTCCTTACACACATTTCTTTTAGATAAAAATAGATTAGACTTTTCAATTATGACACTCAAATTTACCAGAAATTTGAAGAAATGTATTGAAACTCTTCACTATTTTTTAAAATTAGTGTTTTAGTGTAAAATTTCAGATTCTAAGGGAAATATTGTGATTTCCAGTGTAACAGAAATATATACATATGTATTATATAGATTGGTAGATGATGATACATGATAATATATAGGTTGATATTTGATAGATATATGGATCATACTTGCATACATACATGTATAGACAGGTGACAGAGAGATGGCTATGAAGAGCCAGCTTTGTTCATCTCTACAGAACTATGTTCGCAGTAAGGAGACTGTTATATGTCCAGCAAAGTTATCTTATCTGCTTATAATTTGTTAGTCTGTCTAGCTTTGTTTGTATGTGCAGGTATCAAGGGTTGATCACTTGATATTGGACAATGTCTTTGGGAGCTTGTTCTGGAGAAGACTGATTCTCCTCTCTCATCAGATATTTACCACTGATATTATCTTACCAAAGTTATCGTGATCTTTTGATTATTACAATCTTTCTGTCTCCTCCTCTGTGATTTCTCCTAAACTTTATTGTGTTGAACAACCCACAAACCCTTATTATCTGCATTTTCAACCAGCTTTATAATTTATGTAATCTCCATCTGTTGCACAAAGAAACTTCTGATAAAGGACAACAGCTATTCTCATGTGTGGGTATAAGGATATATATTTAAAATACAATTAGAAATTACAGTGATTTATGAAAATGGCAGTAGAAGTTTTTCCTCTTATGATGCCCCTCCTCACTCTTTTCAAGTCCACCACTTCCCCTCCCTCCCTAGTTCATTGTGCTGGTGAGTTTTGGTATCAACTTGACACAGGGAGGAGGAAATGTGCATTAAGAAAATTCTCCCAGGGGGTCAGGCTGTAGGAAAGCCTGTGAAGAGTTTTCTTAGTGTTTGATGGAGGAAGACTCAGACCGTTGTGTGTAGTGCCATCCTTGAGATGGTAGTCTTGGGTTCTATAAGAAAACAGACTGAGCAAGCTCGTAAGTAGCACCCCTCCATGGCCTCTGCATCAGCTCCTGCCTCCAGGTTCCTGCCCTGCTTGATTTTCTTTCCTGACTTCTTCAGTGATGGACTACAATGTGGAAGTGTAAGCCAAAAACACATTTTCTCCCCAACTTGCTTTTGGTAACGGTGTTTCATCTTAGCAATAGTAAACCTAACTAAAACTTCCATAACCTATTTTTAATTCTTATTTTACACAAGCACGCACACACATAAAAACATACACATATACAAATGTATTTACAGAAAAGCCTCATATATATATATATGTATATATACTTACATATATATATACATATATATATACACACACACAAAGACACAAACATACACAAATACATACACACACATGCACCCATATACAAAAACACATATACACAAACACATACAAACACACATACATACACATACAATCACATATATACATATACACACAAACACATAGGCAAACACACATACAAATATACACAAATGTATACACACAAAGCTCCCATACATATATTATATACACACATATATATGTACACACACAAAGACACAAACATATACAACACATACACGTACAAGCACATATATACAAAAGCACATATAAACAAACACATATACATACACACACAAACATACATATAGCAATATACACAGATATACATACATACACACACAAATGCATACACAAATGCTATAGAACAAGTCTTTGTACACTGTAAACATATGTCACTTTCATTGTTAATAAAAAGCTGATTGTCCTATGGCTATGCAGGATTTTCAGAGCAGAGAGAATGCTAGGAAGAAGGACAGAGAGAGAGAGGAGTCACCAGCCAAACATGGGGATGAAACAGGAAACACAAGACAAAAGAGAAGTAATGCCATGTGGCAAAACATAGATTTATATAAACGCGTCAACGTCAGTTGTAAGAGCCAGTTAGTAATAATCCTGAGCTATCGCTTAGCATTTGTAATTATTATTAAGTTCCTGTGTGGTTATTTGGGACACAGAGAAAGTCTGTCTACACACAAATACAAGCATACACACATATATATAAACACAAACACATACACATACATAAAAGCACACATACAACCAATACACATAAACATAAACAAACACACACAGCACACATAAACACACACAATATCCAAATACACACACATAAACACAGATACACACACCTGTACATGAACAAACACAAGTACATAAACACAAACACATAACCAAAAACATACATACATATACACAAAGACACAAATATATACACTTAAACACACACCACACACAAGTATAAACAACCTACACACACCACACAGAGAGACAACACAAAAACATGCACAGTGGATTTTGTTTCTTAATCCATTCAACTAGTTTGTGCCATTTGATAAGTTGGTTAACATTAATATTATAGTTATTACTGAAAGGTCTTTATTGGTAGATGTCATCTCTGTCTGTATTACTAGTCCCATTTTATTCAGTAATTTCAGCTTTCTTTTCTGTGGAGTATTGGTTTTGTGTAAATTCCTCTCATCCGTATGAAGTATTATGTCCAGTATTCTCTAAAGGGTTGGTTTGGTGAACATGAAGTCTTAGATTTTGTTAATATCACTGAAAGTGCTTATTTCTCCTTCAGTTGCAGCAGATTGTGTTGATATTTTGTTTGTGATCTAACAAATAAGCCTTGCCTGAAGATCAGAGTGCAGAGCCAGAGCTAAGCCACTAGTTAGCCACACACCTAAGCCACTAGTTATCCATAGAGGACAGGCAGTGGTGGCCACACTTTTAATCCCAGCACTCAGGAGACAGGCAGATGAATCTCTGTGAGTTCAAGGCCACTCTGGGCTACACACACACACACACACACACAGAGAGAGAGAGAGAGAGAGAGAGAGAGAGAGAGAGAGAGAGAGAGAGAGAGACAGAGAGAGA